TCCAGATGGCTCGGAAGGGCTGTGACCTGTCTTTGGTCCCTACGATTGGGTCCTTTTCCTCCGGTTACTCCTCCGGCAGCCTAGTTGGTGGAGTGCCTTGCCAAACACTTCGGTCCTGTTCAGTTTATCCGGTTCCCCAGGTAGTAATCTGCATGTAGTACCGTTAAAGATCTGTGCTACCTCTCTACTCAGGACTTCCTAAGTAAACGCCTCACCGCCGTATTGGCTCCGTGGCTTTCTGCGATTCCGAAGGACTTATCTTAGGTTTGCACCGACTAAACAGGCTTGCATGCCTTTGTGTAACTTCTTTATTACACAAATGCCCCAGAATCTTCTAATTTTTATCTTGGTACGACCACAGTTACAGGGTCTCGAGTTTTCTCAGCCATAATGATAGTTGCTGAATCCGTTTTTCTAAATTCAATTTTTCACCTTCCGTAGGAATTGAACTTATACTCTACCACTTGGGGGTGCAACAACTTCATTACTTTACTAAGTTGCCACACCCAGAAAATCAATTTTTATATTATAAATTTTATAATAAATTATAAGAAAATGCAAACTTTGAAGAGCTATACTACAAAATTTTAATAATACAATTATTTTTATATCTTAAGTAAAAAATGATTCTAATCTTATTCTAAATTGATTTATATAAAAAATATCTTTTGAAAAAATTGTCAATTTGATCTTTTTTCTCAGCATCTAGCCCATATAAAGAAGTTTGAAGAAAAAGCATATAAACCTTAATCTCTATAAAAACCATTATGTATAGTTATTTCTTCTACTTTTTTCTAACAAGTTTTTGTTTTTGTTAACTATAAGTTTGGTACAAATGATTGTTGAGAAAATTCTCTTTTTTAATTTTTTAATTTTAAGGTGACCTCTTTGCCACACTACTCTTTATTCAAATATCAGTAGTATTTTTAATTGTCAAATATATCCTAACAGTTGTACATATTTGTTGGGTACAACTAACTATACCTGCGCCTTTTGAGCACCTATTTAAGTAGTCTGCCTATCATTAAGTTCTACACTAGATGTTGTACTTGCACCTCACTAGGGGATTACCTATTTAAACCTTCTGTATCTATGTACTAACCCTTTTATATCCAAATGATGATACTTAGTAACACCTTATTTTTATATGCTGACTTAAAGCTTTAAAGTGGTCTCTACTATTTTAGAGAGTTCTTTGACCTCGAGATAAACCTGCTAGAGCCTTCCATACTCATATTTAGGCAAGCTTAGACTTCGGTAACTTATGCCTAATCCAATAACAAGTATTTGCCAATTGAAGCCGCTACTATTATCTACTTCTACCCTTATAGAGTTTACTTATACTTCAACCCTTACTTATCCAATCAGGAACCTTTTTACTGTTTCACTAAACTTTTAATCCAAATAGCCCAGTTTGGTTCACAAGTTACGTTACCCACTTTTCTATTGGCTTAACCTGAATACTAACCTGTGCCTTTTTTTCTCTGATCGATTCCAGCAGTCTGGTTGATATAATGCTTGCCAAACACCCGATCCTCATCCAGATCCACAGCTTATTAGTTCTCTTCTCAGATTTTCCAGAACTGTCAAAAGTACATGTTACTTCTTTACTCAGAACTTGCCAAGCGGATTCCTATTCAGGACAAAGTTCAACAAATTTATACAGATTCTGGGGACTTATCATGGGTTTACACTGCCTTTTATCGATTTGTATTTCTTTGTGTAACTTCTCTATTACACGAATATCTCAAGATCTTCCAAGTCTGTACTATCACTTTGATTAAGGTTTGCGAGATAAGCCATCTGTTAGGCGATCATTATCCTTTGCACTTATTTAGTCTAACCGTTATTACAGAATCTCCATCCCAACACCCGAAATAGTCATCAATGTACAAAAGAATTCAATTTTTCATCATTGGTGAGAATTGAACTCTAGAGTGCCACTTGGGAGGCGACAACTTAACCACTTTACTAAGTTGCCACACCTCTTAAAATTCTTTATTAATTGTTATAAATTTGGTAATTTACTTATAAAAATTAATACTTGTCTTAAAAGCAAATTTTTCTAACTTTAAAAACATATAAAATTTAAAAAAATTTAAAAAAAATTTTTAATAGTAAACCCTAATATTATACAAACTTTGAACTTTAGTTAATTAAAAATTTTTTAATAATTTTAAAAATTTTCTTAATAAAATCATTTTCTCCTATACCTTTGTGTTTTGTTTTATATAGTTTTTTTTTACTTCTTTACAAAATGATATCAAATATTTGAAAAAAAATTAAAATTAATTGGTTTTAAAAAATTACAGGATTTAAATGCTAATAAATTAAAAAATTAACAAATACTTAAAAACTAAAAAAAATTGAGACCACGTCCCCGGAGCATCACCCGGGCCTAAGAAGTATATATACAGTCTTCCTCCTCTATAATCACACAGTTTGTATCAAGAAAATTGGTGATTATAAAAGAGTGTGATTATATAGAAGTCTTTTTTTATAAGTTTGTTAATAAATTGTCTCAAAAATTAATGTGATTATATGGGAGTTGTGATTATATAGGAGGTGATTATAGAGGAGAAAGACTGTATATATAGTCAAACTTCTCTATAGTCACACTTTTGAAATACAAAACATTGTGATTATAAAAAGATATAACTAATATAAAAATATTTTCTATATAACTATAAATAATTGGTAAAAATAAAATTAATTTTGTTACTAACTATAGAAGAGCTTGACTATACTCTTTTTTCTATGTTAAAAACAATTTTTTAAACAATGATAAACTATAAAATATTTATCAATTTATCAGGTTTTTTAATTTAACAAAGTTATTATGGTTTAAAATTTTTATTAATAAAAGGTGGATGTCTCTTACTGTCCGGTACTGTACTTAATCTAAACTTATAAATAGCTTATAAATAGACGTTTCCGACTTTATGATACGTAATACGCACGTAATCAATTAGGAGAAGTCTTTACGATCTACTCGGAATACAGAAAATATCTGAATTTTATGCAAACGATACCCCTTGTTAAAATACCCCTACCGTCAATTTAACTAGTTTGAATAAAATTTCCAGTCCCAAGGGGTATTATTATTGTGTCGGTGAATCACATTTACACGACAGTTAGGGTTGGCTTGATTTAGAATTAGTGTTGAAGTCGGTGAAATAATTGTCAATGAATTCATCCACTATCGCTATAGTGGATTCTATTCTCATATGACAGCGGATTTTTATTCGGATATGGTGCTATGTACGTATCAGTATGTAAAATTGCATGACACTTAGAAAACCGGATTATGTATGAATTGATGAACATTACCTGTTAGCAGCACTACGTTATGTCTCAAAAATATCACGGATTAACGTAAAGGCCAGGCTCGTCGCATTCATTACCAATTTTAAATCTTTAATGCCCTTAATAAACCGAGTATAGTATACAGCAAATTCTTATTGTAAAAGGAAATTTTGAAGTGCACACACGCCTTGCATTTATAATGGGGCAGGGTTTTTGAAAAGCAGCATTTGATCAGTAAAAATCCTGTGGTTCACGCTTGGATATAGAGATAATATACTAGAGCATCAGCAGGACCTTATATACAACCATTTACGGCATATATTCGCCTTGTACATACGTACGTACGTGTAATAAGCCTGCACAATATTATCTTACACAATATCAGCCTTGCACAACAAATACGATGTTTTACCGGGAAATACTTATTTGTGCGAGTGATAAGTTCGTGAAAATAAACATTTAGGGTTAGAACGTTGAAGTTAGATGCTATGGAAATAAACGTTTAACTTCCTACATGTAAAATTTCATTTCCGTCACTTTTAATTAGTGCCTCAAGACAGGTTTAAACATTCGGTTCCTTGTATTTTCGCTTTTTCGTGTTTTTCTTCTCTTTGCTAATCACATTTTACGTTCTCCGATTGGCTAATTTCCCTTTTTGGATTTGCTATTTTACCGGCCTTTTCACGTGATCACAAATGTTAAAGTTATTGATAAATTTTTGTCTTACTGACAAATGATCTCTTGTTACAAATAAAGTAATTTAACTTATTAATATAGGTTAATTATAAATTACGATTTCACACGTCACGTGATAGTTTTTATAAATAAAGTTTCTATAGCGATTTTTCTATAGCGAGGGTTCTTTTTTTCTAAAAATAGACTTTTTTTTGACTTGCGGAACTTACCTGGTAAATCACTGTCACATTTTTAATATCGACGTAACATATAATATTACGTTGAGACGTTAAAGGGTTATGTTTATACGAGGACCATTTTTTTAAAGAATTCGGGCAGGCCTATCATTACGCAACATTCGATGGAAATCTTTTTAGAAAAAAAAAATTCTATAATTTAGATAATGAAAAGCAGGATTAGGATCTTGATGTGCTTAATTTTAATTATAAATAGATTTTTTATCAAATAACAGTGCATACCGATAAAAGTATCGTTATTATTAAGGGAAAACTAATTTCCTTAACTGTTATATGACAAAATTAATTTTGAGTTTTTTTTTTTATCGTTATTATTTACTACACAACACATTCCGAACCCGTAAATAAAGAAAAACATGCAGTTCCATTATAACTCATAATATCCATTTTCATATATCATTTTAAACCTTTTACTACCTTCTTTGTAAGAAACGACTCATTTCTTCGTTAAAGAAAAACTAACAAAATTTGTTTCAAAAATTAATCATAATTATTTATCAATTTTAACGAGGTGTAAAAAAAAAAAGAAAAACTTAAAAGGTGACAACATTGATATTTCTAAGTTAGCTACAAATAAAAATAATGAAGCTTCGTCGCTTCGTTATTATTATTACCTTGGTAACGATTGCTGTTGGAATGTTCTTTCCTGTATATTCCATATTTTTACGAAACAAACTGGAAAGAAGTTCCTTTTTAACTCCGTCAAGCATGAACAAAAACAAAAGAGACGTTGACATAGAGACCTCCACAGGATTTGGCATCATGTTATTCAAGTTAGTAAAAAAGTCTGTAATTTCGGTGTCTCCAAACGATCCATCCCCAGAAAATTCCCCTCCGGATTTTAGACCAAAAAAAATTAGTGAGCACGGTAAAAACGAAGACCCCTCATACTCTCCAACTAAGAATAACAGTTCTAGTCCTACTCCTTCCCCACAACCATCGGCCTCAGTCGGATCCTCAGAGCTTGATGTTAAAAAACTTCAAGAGGAGGAAGAAACTCTTCATAAAATAATTGTCGTTCTCTGTTCGCTTGGTGCTTCACTTGTTTTAGTAGCGATTGCAATAGCAGTACTATTTTGGAAAGTACGGAAACAATCAGATATAAACAAAAACTATTTTAATAATCAAAATGGAGAAGATAAGAATGTAGATAAAAATGATAAAAATGTGGATGATGTCCAAGACAAGTCTGATGATGGAACAAATATTGATATGACAGTTATTGTTAATGACAGCGCTGTTAATGACAGCGCTATTAATAATAACTTGAATGCTGATGTTTATTATGTTAACAAGGAATCTTCAGATAAAAAACAATCAACAATGTCTCAACCATCATATCCATCAACTTATTATCTTTCAATAGTACCTACTGCTCCAACTGCAGAAGAAATAGCACCTTATAATGAATTAGATCCTCGCGCATCTAATTTTTCTACTCCTCCAATAAATTTATCTGATCCACCAGCTTATAGTCCTTATGTTCCATCAGCTCCACCATTATATTCGCATCCACATGGGCCAATAGATTCTGATGACAATAGTTATGTGACTCCAACTGCATTCATAGGAACGTCGACTTTGCAAGCTTTGAACGCTGGTTCAATTTTTGTTTCTGATGCACCCACGATGCCAGAAGAGACTGATACTTCTTTGTTCAGTACGGCAATAAATAAAATAGATGATGATGGTAATGACATTTCATCCTTTGGACCATCACATAGCCAGTCAACATTGTAGACTATATATGCATTCTTAACTTTTATAGACATTCTATATCTATCTCTTTCAACCTCGCCCGGTCCCAATTTCTTTAATCGAATTTAAAGAATTAATTGAGATCCATATTTCACTTATTTTTCAATCATAAAATCGCTTTGAGTTTTTAACTGAACTCAATTATTTATACCATTTCATTTCATTTTCATTTACATACTTCAATATTAATGCGATAATATGAAAATTTGGCGAGAGAATGTCTTCCGGCATAATACCGGTAAGGTTTTGCGACATAATTATGTCGTGTGGAATTCAACTTCGCGTTACCTTATCAATATAAACGAAAGGTTCGCTTTCGTTGAATAATGATCTGATGGATATTGGGTGATATATTGAAAGAATAGTATCCTAAATAAACTATTTAATGGGAAGTGGAATGTGGACCAATTTTATTACGAAAAAAAAAAACCAAGATTTTTTTTTTCCTTTTTTTTTTTTTTTTATTTTATTTTGGATACTATATGTATATGTAGCATTTAATTATAATGAAATCAGTTAAAATGAATTTTGGAATCCCTTTTTTAAACACCAAAATTCTAACTTTTAGCATTAACCAAAAGCATTATCTAAAAAAGTTTAACACAATACAAAATTTATTTTAATCTGATTTCATTTTAGTCTGCCATATTTAATATATATATTTTTTTTTTTTTTTTTTTTTTAAAATTGAATCATAATTCCTTATGTAGAATGTAATACTTTCTGCTTGAATTGAGATTCGAAAATTCGAAAACACAGTAAACGATTGGAATGAGAAAGTGGCTCAGCGGGTTCAGATAGAGTTACGATAGGCCAATGAAACTGATGATTTTAAATATACATTAAATTTTCTTGTACATAGATTTTACATAATCCACATGTATGCATTCTTTTTATTATATTTTATTTCGTTGTAGAAAAAAAAAAATTACACTTAGGTCATTTTGAGAACCTGAATAATTCTAAAAAATTTTATACCCTTTTAGTTTGTAATGATAATCAAAAAAACTTTATTTGATTTATAATATATCTAAAAACAATGAATTAATCGCAATGCAAAAGTACTATTTTATTCATTTATATATTTTATATAAATTAGAAACTCGATTGGTCTTCATCTAAAATAATCGAGAAAATATTAAAATCATTAAAATCGTTATACCAATACGTATATGGTTTTAATAATTACCAATTGAATTTCTAAAAACTTGAAAGTAAGAAACTATGACCTGGTTAACATTATTCACAAAAAAAAAAAAAAAGAAATCAATTTGTCGTTTTTTTGTTTTTATGATAATCAAAATAAAAGCTTTGATTTACTAAAGAAATCTTTTTTCTGAATCTTCTATAAAAAAAAATTTATCACAGGCTATTTTTTTTTTTTTTTTTAGTATATACAAAATACCCTTTTTTTATATATATTTATAATATATTTATAAAAAAAGGAATAAGTGAACTAAATAAAAAGGCCTCATGATTATAATCCACTTAAACGAATTAAATTGTTCAAAGAAAATATCTTTTCAAAATACTATTGCTAATAATGAAGCTATAACTAATGCTAAGTATTCATTTTCATTTATCCCATCGACTTTTTTTACCTTCGCGAGCTGGTGTATCTCCATGAGAACTAAAATAATCCCTTTTATGAGAAGTTTGTGGAGTTTGTTCTCTCCTTTGCTGGAAATGTTGTTCTTGTGAACTACCGAATTCTGATTGTGGTAGATGATCAGGTGATCGTGGTGATAAACCTGGAGAAAACGAACGTGAGCGTTGTTGCGTAGGTAAGTGTTCTTGTGATGGAGGAGATGCTGTTCCCTGAAAAGGTGAATCATTCGATGTATGACGTCTTGGAGATGAACCTTCCCAGGATGCATCCGAATATTTTCTAGAATCAGATGAATTAGATGATCGATCACCTTTATCATGTCCTCTACGCCTTTCTTTACGCGAACTTTCATGTTGAGGTCCTAATTTTTTATTCCCTGAACCACTAGAAAATCCTTCACCAATTACAATGTCCGGTTCCTCAACTACAATTCCACCAACTATATCCCTTCCACCAGTACCACCTTTCTCACTAGTAAATAACCATTTACGATCTGTTTCTGTAAGTCTGTTAAGAGGAATTAAAGATTCCCCAGAATCAAAATCAAAGCAATTTTTAGGCCCGAAACCTACGCCCCAACGTACCTTGAATTATTATAATTTAAGTTAGAATATTATGAATGCATTAAATAAATAAATGTATTATATATAGATAATATATCTATCATGTGAAACCTGTTCAACAAATCAAGCTATGATTATGTATCAAGAATAAGAATGATGATTAAATAATGATTTTATTAATTCAAGCCGTTATTTTGCCTATTCTTGATCCAGAGCTTGATTTCATAATAGATCTTTTTATTATCATTTGTAACCTACCACCGTAATCTTGCAATTTTGTTTACCCTTCTGGCTTACTTGCGCTTTAAGACCATGAAGTGCTCTAGAAGCACCTGCTCGTGTTTCCATTTTAATGAAAGCATGATTTTTATCGTAATTAATCTGATTTAAATTTAAATTAATATGATTAATATTAATATTTACATTATATTTTAATCCGATTATACTTGATTACAATTTGATATCATAAATTACCGTAATAGTAGATACTCTGCCATAAGTAAGAAATATTTTCTCCATAACACTTCTGGTCAAATCCTCTGTTACGCTACCAACGTAAAGAGTTCGACTTAGAACTGTATAAATAAATAGATAAATAAATAGATAAATAAATAATAAATAAATAAATAAAAATATATAGATTTAAGAAATTTAAATTCGTGTAACTTGAACCAATAACATTCGTGTAAGCCAACGACATTTATATAGATAAAGATTATACCTTTAATAAAATCTCTTCCAACACTTGGGTCTGCGTATGCTATACAATCATCTTGTGGCATTCCAATAGGAAGTTCCATATGTCCAGGTGGTCCTTGAGGATTTGGTCCGGGTGGACCTTGATGCAGTGGTCCAGGAGGACCTTGTAACATGTGACCGGGTGGAGGACCTTGATGTTGAATAGGAAGACCAGCTGGTGGTGGACCCGGAGGACCTTGATGTAAAAGATGTCCTGGAGGTGGAGGCATGGAATGTCCCGGAGGTGGTAACGGATGACCCGGAGGAGGTAATGGGTGACCTGGAGGAGGTATTGGGTATCCCTGAGGTGCCGGGTTGTTCGGAAAATGTTCAGGTGGTGCATGTTGTTGTGGAGGAATAGGATTCCATGATGGAGGAGGAAGAAGTCCTTGCTGACCATTCCATGGTTGAGTAGGAAATGGTGGTGGTTGTTGATATTGACTTTGAGGGGGTGGTATGTTTCCGGGTGGTGGTGGCGGTGGTTGTTGCTGCGCAGGCCCCGCCCAAGGTTGCTGTGGGAACGGAAATGGTGCCATAGCGTTATTAGTAGTAGGAATTGGCTGCTGACCAGAAATTAATAGTGATGGTGCAGCCGATGTTGGTGGCGGAGGTTGCGGTGGTGGTACCGACTGTGAAGAATTTCCTTGAGATGGTTGAAAATATTGATTGGTCATATTTTGGTTTTGATCCTGATTGAGTTGTTGAGGCATTGACGATGCTGCAGGTGTTGCCGATTGATTTCTATAAAGATTTTGAAGCATGAATATAAAAACAAATAATGTAGGAATTTAACAATAAGGTCCATAATCCATTCGTTGGGAACGATATATATTTTATTTGTCATGAAACTACCATCCAAATGGGAACCTAATTAATTATCACGTGAAACTCGAAAAAAACTTGTCACTGAATGAATGCCCGACTTTTTTTTTTGGTTTTGTTTTTTTTTTTTTTATTGTTTTCGGTTTCTTCCACATTAACTAGTTACAAACTAGCAGTTGTGCATACTTCCGATACAAATATTACTTTGTAATATGTAATTTTTTTTTTCTGGTTATGCATAATTGCAAATTGAAAAATAAAAAACTACAATCGAAAAGGAACCTCAAGAAATGATTAAATCGCAAGAGTTTAAGAAATTATCGGAACCTGGTTAAAAGCGCACACTTTCCCACAATGCTCAAAAAAGCAGTCGATTTACTTACACATTTATAGGTTTCACGTTTATAGGATTCGTCAAGATTGCCTCTTTAGTAGTATTATTTATCTCACCATTTGCACCTGATTGGGTTATGTCACCATCATCATCTTCATCCATATCTCCATAATCAAAATCAAGAGGATCGTTTAAAGGTTCTTTTGGTTTAGTTGTTTCAGCATTATTTGTTTTTGATGGATAATTAGAAGATACTGGAGATTGTAGAAAACCATTATTCGCAGAAACAGAAGGTTGTGTAATATTAGGGAACTGTGGAGGAACAGTGTGCGCGTTAGTAGCAACATTATTAAAAGCGATGGAAGTATTAATAGGTTGCGTTGTAGCAGCAGTTATTGGATTTGCTGACAAAAATGGTGGTATATTCAAAGTTCCTTGAGTTAAATTGTTTAGTGTAGCTAATAAAGCTGAAGAATCCAAAGCTGTTGACATCGTTATACTTGGCTGATCTATAATTGATAGAGAAAAGAACACTATTAAGACCAAGCTGGATCACACGATTGATTCGTCTTGTCCAGTACAGTTATGTTTTTTTTTAGATTTATGCAATTTATATGAACGAAACATTACTTGGCACAGAAACCATTCGTGGATCACCTCCATGTGATACTGGTGTCGTTATCGATTGAGACTCATGCAAATTGTTTTCTAAAGGATTTGTCACAGTTCTTTGAGAAAAATAGGTATCTTTTATTTTTCGAATTAATTCCTTGTCATATATGACATCTTTGGTAAGCCATATGTCAAGAACACGTTTCACTTTGTCCTGTATTTTATATGAGTTTTAATTAATACATGAAATTATAACGCAATCGAACAGCCCCACAGTGTAAACCAAGGGAAGCTATATGCAAAATTTGTAAGATTACTATATAAAAAAAGGAAATTTAATATGATAATAAAGAAGTAATGATGGATTATTAATCTATGTATTATGTCTTTGATCGCTGTTATTGATACATGATCCTATGATTTTTAATTATAATGAATGAAGAATTGGATAGTTAAAAATATACGACGATCGGCGTAATATGTCGCGCAAGTTAAATTATTGTTGCACCTATAGCATCACTACATAACAATCAAACTTATCCCTTGGCAATTTAGAAAAAGAAAACGAGCATCACGTGATTCTTACCTTGTCGTGTTCTGGACATTGCATGATGTGTAAAAACATATCTTCTAATATTTTCTCAAACCTTTCAAGATATTCAGCACCTGACCAAGCGGAACCATCGTTGTCTTTTTCAGCAACCAATGTCTTTTGTCTCTGTGCCGCTTGTGATATTGAATCCAATACATATAATGCTCCTAACTTGTAATCGGCCGAACATCTTTGAATGAATTTCTGTACGCTGTATACTATGTTTTTATATTGCTGAATTTTTTTTTCAGCGATAATTAAAATATCGGGAGCAGAAAAGACATTTAGTGATTTGCAAAATTTATTTTTTTTTTTTCACAACCGATGTATTAACTTGCTCGTTTTTGGACATAAATAGGAATAATTTTTAATTTAATTTTTTTAAAAAAAAAAAAAAAATTAAATATATGAAATGGTCGACTTTATATTAAGTAAAAAAAGTATTTTATTTTTGAAAATATCATCGATCCAACCAAAAGATAATAGTTCACTACGATTGTTTTTATGTTAACCCCCGTATATGATGATAACTGCGGAAGTCCCTTTACTCAACCAATAAAGAACAAGTTCAACCCCTCGCTAATTTTTTCTTTAAAGGTATCTCTATAAAGTTTTATCTTTTAAACCCACAGTTGGAGTGAACTTTCTAGAAAACTAATCTCTTGCTTTAACTTTACTCATCTCACCTTTGGACTAGTCATTGCTATTCTCGTCAAGTCTTTTATTTTGGAAGCACTTATTCCAGGTGGTTTTCTTTCAAGCAATTCATACAACTTTTTGTCAAAATCTTGTTCTTTAGACGTCATGTTGCCTTTGTCGTGTAATTCAGAAGCTATTCAGGAAAAAAGTATATCGCAGCAAATTCAAAAAAAAAAAAAAGAGAAAAGAGTAAAAAAAGTAATATACCATTCAGTTGATTGAGAAATTTAGATGTATTATTTGAGTGTGCCAGCCAAATAAAGCATCTGACTATCGTTCGCATGTGGCAAAAATTGCCGAATGTGGTATCACATGATTTAGAAATCGACCAATAAGGATTCATGCATTGTAAATTACGGTCAGGAGAAAAAATTCAATATCTTTTTAGGGAGATTTTCGGGGAGATTTTGATAATCGACGAAAGTTTATTCAGCGTAATTCAGTAATTTACGTAATTACAGCTATTCCTCAATGGCTACCTTATATAAACAAATAGTTAAAGCTCAAGAGGATGAAGACTCTGATGATCCTAAAGAAAAGAAACCCTTGGAGAATAAACAGAATAGACAGAGAGTTCTTGCCTTATCTTCACGAGGAGTAAACTTTAGGTGAGCGATAGATTGCTGATTTTCCACGTCGGTTAAAACAGGTAGACTTATCCCGGTTTTAGACAGAGACACTTATTAAATGATCTTGGTGTACTCTTTCCCCATTTTAAGAAAGGTATAGTCATTTCTTTAATTTACTTAGCATCACCTGAGTATGAACCTGCCTGAAATTGTAATGATATGTAATGATATAATAATTTTACTAGATTCTAAACTCGATCAAAAGTCCAAACTTGGAATCATTAATGAACTGGCAGAGCTTAATAATTGCAATAATTGCGTCTTTTTCGAGGTACGAAAACGTCAAGACCTTTATATGTGGACAAGTAAAACACCCAATGGACCAAGCATTAAATTTCATGTCCAAAACAGTAAGTCACGATTCTTAATATGCTTAGATTCACAAATTTACTTTGACTAAACAAAAATCGCGTTATCATGATGGATAGTTCACACCATGGATGAGCTTAAGATGACAGGAAATTGTCTCAAGGGATCCCGCCCGATCCTCTCTTTTGATAAGACCTTTGATTCAGAACCCCATTGGATATTAATTAAAGAAGTCTTTACCCATGTATGAAATTTCATTAGGATAAAATTCATCATTAATCATCTTGATAGAACTATATTTTTATAAAAGTATTTTTAGATTTTTGGTATTCCAAGAAGCGCACGTCGAATAAAACCCTTTATCGATCATGTCATTTCCTTTACGATTGCTGATAATCGCATATGGTTTCGTAATTTTCAGGTACGTAACCGAAATTAATTGTTATTTCTTATTTGATTATTTGATTATTTGATTAGTTAATCGACTATTTATGTGATTATTGTGAATATATATACATTTCTTAAAAATAGATAATTGAAAAAGATCCAATGGAACCCAACAAAAAACCAAATGATAAGGATTTATCGCTTGTA